AAGACTTTCAATAAAATATTAAACTATGCTTATTTCTGATGGTAGAATTGGCGATGACTTCCTTTTTCTCTGGATTTTTCCATACCATTTTGGAATTTTAAAATAGTTTTTATTAGTTTTATTAGTTACATTAGTTTTTATTTTAGTTTTTTTTTTCATTTTTATGAAAAGCCACCTCCTATAGCATTGGCTATATGAATATCCAACTTGGAACACCCAGCACTGAACAAACCGTCAGGTAGAAGAATGACCTGACCAGATTTTCATTTTAAATAGGACATTCTGACAGCTGCAAGGAGTGTAGTTTCCAAAAGATAGAAACTGGGAACAGGGAGACCAATCCAGACTGTTATAGGTATCTAGATAAAAGACGATAGAGTCTGATCTAGGTTGGTGATAGTAGGAATGTTTGGAAATTAAATCAGTAGAGTTAAACCAAAAAAGAATTATTGATAAATTTGACTAGGTAAACACTAAAGGTTTTACTTCTTCAAAACATCATAAAATTAAGTTTAAAAAGCAAGGGACAAACTGTAAAAAACACTTGTGAGATATGAATGATATGAAAGATGGGAAAGGTTGGCATCCTGAATATACTAAGAGCTCTTAAAAATAAGAGAAAACATTCTAATATAAAAATGAATACAGCAATTTATCAAAGAATAAATATGGCTTCCAAAATGTTAAAACCTGACCAAAGATAAAAAAAAATACTGGAAATAAAAATACAGTCTTCATTATCATATTAGTGAAGATAGTCACAGAATAAAGCACAGATATATGCACAAAGTGTTCATCTTGGAACTGTTAAAAACAATGAAAATTGAGAAAATAATTCTTTCAATGAAAGATTTGTTAATAAATTATTATAGATCCCCCTATTGGAATATTAGGTAATAATTAAAAACTATTGCATAGCTCTATAATATTGAAATAGAAAGTTGTTTGTGCATCACAATGCCTGTGGCCTATTATTAAGTAAAAACTGGTTATCAAACTTCAAGCATAACATGCCAACTTTATGTAAAATTCTGTTTGTGTGTGTGTGTGTGTGTGTGTGTGTGTGTGTATGCAAAACGTGTATCTGCATATATAGGGATACCTAAAAGACTTTCAATAAAATATTAAAACATGCTTATTTCTGGATGGTAGAATTGGAGATAGCTTTTCCTTTTTCTCTGTATTTTTCCATATCATTTTGGAATTTTAAAATAGACACCATGCACTATTTATATAATTTTTAAGTAAACAAAGCCTTATTATTTGGGGAAAAAACAAAACCCAGTAGGTATTTTTTTACTCCAAGGGTGTAACAATTAAGGAGGACTTGGTGATTGATTGGTTATAGAGAGCAAATGTGAAGGATTGGGCAAGGATGACTTTCAGTTTTCTCATTCTTTGTAATAATTCACTGGCACTGAATGAAAGACAGTTATCCTCTCTCCTATCCCTTTACCCTGTTGTCATTCTTTTTGCTTTGCAACTTCTCATCCAGATTCTTCTCCTCCTAACACTGTCCCTGGACTCCCTGAAATGTTTGTTCCAACACTAACAGCCCCTCTGCATCTGTTACCTTATTTCAGAATGCTTTCTCCATATGTTTTCCCTAACTGAATGGCGGAGGGTTAGAGATGAGACATGGTGCTGGAAATGACTGACACAAATATTCTTATACCAGTACAGGTTGTTTTCATGGCAGCATCCTATAATGAGGGTCCCAATCTAGTATCAGAGAAGATGGGAGATGAACAAATTTATGAGGGTCCCAATACCAAGTGGACCTGTTTCAGGGTGTTCAAAGTAGCTGGGAGGTCCAGGGACAGGATAAACATTGCCAACAGATTGCAAAGTCTGGTAAGGAGCAAGGCAGCCCTCATACTTGTCTGAACTGATTGTTCAGGGCAGGAGAGGAGGCACAATAGTGAAAGTAATGGCCAGTCCTAGTTAACTATCTACAAGGAACTGCCAACTCATTATTTTTCTTTATCACAGTTTGCTTTGCAAACCAACAAGCAAAAATACCAAGCTATTCATATACAAGCATAAATGTCATCTGTGTAAATATAAATATTAAACACTAGAGCTTTTCAATGATCAAGAGACATTAAAGATTGATGTCAGATATATGTCCACTTCTTGAATCTTATTCTTTAGGGCCACCAGTCCCCAGACACCATCTTTGTCTTTTTGTCATCATTGAGATCTTTGCCATTCCAGACTAACTCATCCCAGTGTTCAAGAGCCACGCCGCCGCCGCTGCCGCCTCCTCCTCCTCCTCCTCCTCCTCCTCCTCCTCCTCCTCCTCCTCCTTCTTCTTCTTCTTCTTCTTCTGGGATACATGTGCAGAACATGCAGGTTTGTTACACAGGTATACATGTGCCATGGTGGTTTGCTGCAACCATCAACCCATCAACTACATTAGGTATTTCTCCTAATGCTATCCCTCCCCTACCTGCTAAACCCCAACAGACCCTAGTGTGTGATGTTCCCCTCCCTGTGTCCATGTGTTCTCATTGTCAGCTCCCACTTATGAGTGAGACTATGTGGTGTTTGGTTTTCTGTTCTCGTGTTAGTTTGCTGAGAATGATGGCTTAGAGCTTCATCCATGTCCCTGAAAAGGACATGAACTCATCCTTTTTGTGACTGCATAGTATTAGATGGTGTATATGTGCCACATTTTCTTTATCCAGTCTATCATTGATGGGCATTTGGGCTGGTTCCAAGTCTTTGCTATTGTGCATAGTGGTGCAGTAAACACACGTGTGCATGTGTCTTTATAGTAGAATGGTTTATAATCCTTTCGGTATGGACCCAGCAATGGGATTGCTGGGTCAAATGATATTTCTGGTTCTAGGTCCTTGAGGAGTTGCCACACTGTCTTTCACAATAGTTTAACTAATTTACACTCCCACCAACAGTGTAAAACAGTCCCTATTTCTCCACATACTCTCCTGACTTTGTAATGATCACCATTGTAACTGGCATGAGATGGTATCTCATTGTGGTTTTGATTTGCATTTCTCTAATGACCAGTGATAATGAGCTTTTTTTCATATGTTTGTTGGCCACATAAATGTCTTCTTTTGAAAAGTGTCTGTTCATATTCTTCTCCCACTTTTTGATAGGGTTGTTTGCTTTTTTTCTTGTAAATGTGTTTAAGTTTCTTGTAGATTCTGGATAACAACCATTGTCAGATAGATAGATTGCCAAAATTTTCTCCCATTCTATAGGTGGCTTGTTCACTCTGATGATAGTTTCTTTTGCTGTACAGAAGCTCTTTCGTTTAATTAAATCCCATTTGCCAATTTTGGCTTTTGTTGCCACTGCTTTTGGTGTTTTAGTCATGAAGCCTTTGCCCATGCCTATGTCCTGAATGGTATTGCCTAGGTTTTCTTCTAGGATTTTTCTTGTTTCAGGTCTTACATTTAAGTCTTTAATCCATCTTGAGTTAATTTTTGTATAAGGTGTAAGGAAGGGGTCTAGTTTCCAGTAAGAAGTCAAATCCCTGAATAGACCAATAACAAGTTCTGAAATTGGGGCGGTAATTAATAGCCTACCAACCAAAAAAAAAAAAAAAAGCGCAGGACCAGAAGGATTCACAGCCAAATTCTACCAGAGGTACAAAGAGGAGCTGGTACAAGTTCTTCTGAAATTATTCCAAACAATATAGAAAGAGGGACTCCTCCTTAACTCATTTTATGAGGCCATCCTTATACCAAAACCCGCCAGAGACACAACAACAACAACAACAACAAAGAAAACTTCATGCCAATATCCCTGATGAACATCTATGTGAAAAATCCTCAGTAAAGTACTGGCAAACCGAATCCAGCCCCACATCCAAAAGCTTATTCACCATGATCAACTCTGCTTCATCCCTGGGATGCAAGGCTGGTTCAACATATGCAAATCAATAAATGTAATCCAGCATATAAACAGAACCAAAGACAAAAACCACATGATTATCTCAATAGATGCAGAAAAGGCCTTCGATAAAATTCAACACCCTTTCATGCTAAAAACTCTCAGTGAACTAGGTATTGATGGAACATATCTCAAAATAATAAGAGATCTTTATGACAAACCCACAGCCAGTATCATACTAAATGGGCAAAAGCTGGAAGCATTCCCTTTGAAAACCAGCACAAGACAAGTATGCCCTCTCTCACCACTCCTATTCAACATAGTATTGGAAGTTCTGGCCAGGGCAATCAGGCAAGAGAAAGAAATCAAGGGTATTCAAATAGGAAAAGAGGAATTTAAATTGTCTCTGTTTGCAGATGACATGTATATTTAGAAAACCCCATCGTCTCAGCCCAAAATCTTCTTAAGCTGATTAGCAACTTCAGCAAAGTCTCAGGATACAAAATCAATGTGCAAAAATCACAAACATTCCTATACACCGATAACAGACAAACAGAGAGACAAATCATGAGAGAACTCCCACTCACAATTGCTACAAAGACAATAAAATACCTAGGAATCCAACTTACAAGGGATGTGAAGGACCTCTTCAAGGAGAACTGCAAACCACTGCTCAAAGAAATAAAAAAGGACACAAATAAATGGAAAAAACATTCTATGCTCATGGATAGGAAGAATCAATATAGTGAAAATGGCCATATTGCCCAAAGTAATTTATAGATCAATGCTATCCCCATTAAGCTACCATTGACTTTCTTCACAGGATTAGAAAAAACTACTTTAAATTTCATATGGGACCAAAAAAGAGCCTATATAGCCAAGACAATCCTAAACAAAAAGACCATATCTGGAGACATCACACTACCCAACTTCAAACTATACTGCAAGACTACAGTAACCAAAACAGCATGGTACTTGGTACCAAAACTTGCATATAGACCAATGGAACAGAACAGAGGCCTTGGAAATAATGCCACACATCTACAATCATCTGATCTTTGAAAAACCTGACAAAAACAAGCAATGGGGAAAGGATTCCCTGTTTAATAAATGGTGTTGGGAAAACTGGCTAGCCATAAGCAGAGCCAGTCATTTCTTAGTATGCATTGAACTCATGCCAAACTATTGTTTCTCACTATTATTGTCTAAAAGACAACGTGTACTAGAAATGTGAGACAGGAAATGTCCATCTGACCTTATTACGGTAGAAGGAATTTTCCAGAGTCCATATGCTGATGTAATTATTTTAAGAATTATTTTTATTTTTTAAAGTGGTAGATCCTTAGAACAATTGTCTTTGCTGTCACCGGCATAGCACATGGCTTATCATCTTCCGTTTGGAGGAACAGAGCACTGTAATTGCTGCAATCAGGTTTTATATTATTTTCTAATTAGGTTTTAGGAGTTCTTTTTATTTGCTTGGTTTATTTGTGTGTGTGAAATGTAACATATATATTTGTATGTCTTAAGCTTTACTTCCTTTGGAAGGTCCTTAATTTATTTTACATAGAAAATTTTTCCTTTTTCCACAAAGCTATGACCATATAACTTACTTCCTTCTGTTCCAGTATTGTACTTTATGTAATTTCCTGTAAACAGCAGCAAACAACTTCAGTATACACTGGCTGTTTGTTCAGTGTTCTTGCAGTACTTACAATGGACATTTCTCAGCATAATTAATCTCTTTTTAAAATTTGGCCCTATTCTTGTCAGCACCAATACTATACTTTGAAATGAATGGAAATGCAGTAGTCATTGAAGGGATACGAATTAAATCTTAAAATGGGTCTAGGGATGGGGTGACAAGGGAAAGAACTCTCACAAACCTGGTGCTTTGTTTCTCCTTTGTGAAGTGAAAAGCAATGAGCTCTACTCTGTGAAAGAAAGGAAATGGTGCTGACGAGCTTTTCCCCAACCACTGTCCACCTGTGGTTCAGAACTAGCAGAAGTCAACTAGTTATTTAGTTTGCTAGCACATTAAGTGTGACATTTGATTATATGAGCATCAAGAACTAGATATTCAGGCATAATTCACGTCCTTTTTCTCTTTCATTATAATGAGTAACTTTAATTCTTGTTTTATATTTGCTTGAATCCATGATCTGTTTTTAATCCTGTATCTTCTGTGTCTGACAGGCTCCATTTCATCCATTTTTTAGTTTTTTTTCCATATAGTTTTACAAAATCCTTTTTTTTTTTCATATAGTTTTACAAAATCCCGCAAATCCTTTTCTCACTAGTAGTACTATTTCTAATGCCAATTTAAACCTTTTTATTCCAGCATACTTTGTGCAGAATGAATTAAGTGTATCTATAGAGAATGAATGATTGGTATTCAGCCAAGCTTTGCCTGTGTCTTTCCATGACCAAAAACAAGTCAGGTGAAAAGGGAAAAAAAAATCAGTGAGTCTGTTGTTTCATCTTTATGACTCTGAACAATCTATTTGTATATTTTGGGAAAATTTTTTCTCATTGAATCACTGTGTATATTTATCATGTATTCAACTGATAGTTGAATTTTCCTTATATAGCTATATGGTAAAAAGTTTTGAATGAGAAACTACTTTTTATAGCCATTTCAGAAACAAGTGAGGTCAGTGAGCATCTTGTTTTAGGAAGAGGGGGATGGTGGGGACATTGGACTGAAAGGAAGTCCTATGTCAGAGGGCTCTGTGCACATTTTCCTGAAGTACCTCAGCTATGCTTAAATGTAATCTGTTATTTTAACCAATCATAATGGTTGCATTTTGCTTTTTCTCATATAAATTATAAATGTGATGACTTATAAATATGGCAAAAGTTTATTTTTCAGGATGCCTCTCCCTTCTCTAACTCGAACAGACTAAATTCTGTTTCCAAAGACTTCAAAAGTGACCAGATTATTGTGAAAGGAGAAACACTGTTTTCGAGGGCTGCTGATAATGCCTGGTAGCCAGAAGAAACAGCCTGAATCATTCAAAGGTTTTCCACCTGGCAAAGAAATGTGGTAAAAATCTTGCCCAGATCTGCATGTGCTAAGCATCCAGGTAAGTTGGAGCATCATATTAATGGCACACAGTGAAGAAACGAAAGGTAAAACTATAATGCAATGTATTTCTGTGCCTCATGTTGAAGCTTCATATTCAAAGGGTAAAGGGACTTCATTCTTCTTCTCCTTCCCCAGCTTGTCTATTGCAGTTTTGTATTGAAATGTTCTCTGGATTCATAACATATTTAGGGACTACATAAAGAAGAAAGACTTTGGAATCAAAGGCAAGGTTCACCTAACACAACTTCTGTTAGAAGAAACTAGGAAATCAGGATCTATCAAAGGCCCAGTGTTAATCGGGACTGGTTTCTCACTGTGTTTTGATTAGAAGAATATTGAACAGCAAACATTTAAGGATTTGTTTGACTGAATATCGACTTAAAGTTCTGATCTCTAGTAATGTCAGACGTATTGCCTTGGTAAATTGTACAGGTGAATTGTTAAAGATGAAAACATAACATATATTTATTGTTTGAATAACTTTAGAGAAAAAAATAATGCTATTTATTTTTCAGAATCAAGTGTAATTACTATATCAAAAATCCACAGAATGTGAAAGTATAAAGGAAAACTATCAGGTGAGACTCAATTATTTTTATTTCAAAGATATAGGTAAAAATGTGAACAGATCGGGAGGCTGAGGCATGATAATCACTTGAACCCAGGAGACAGAGATTGCAGTGAGCCAAGATTGCGCCATTGGACTCCAGCCTGGGCAACAGCACGAGACTCTGTCTCAAAAAAAAAAAAAAAAAAGTGAAGAGATATATTGACATAAAATTCATAAAACATATGAATACATTAAAAACTAGGAAGCCTGGTTGCCTCTGAGGATAAGAGTTGAGGACAAATGTGTCAAGAATACTTTGCACGGCTTATACTATTGCAGTATTTGAATTGTTTTCTTGTACATGTATAACTTTTTTAAAAAGAATGAGAAATATTGTACAAGTGTAACTGTTTTTACTGTAAGTTTTTATTTCCATAAAACTATAATTAAGCCTGTGGTCAATAGATCCTGTTATATAGCTTTTATATCCCTTGAATTTGTATACCTGGTAACACTAGCTCATGTTTGTAAATCCTTTGGAACTCTTAAAACGATTTTACATACATTACCTAATTTGTAAGATTACAAAACTATTACATTAGCTTTTCTGGTTTTCTTGTCTTAATACATGATTATCATATTAAACTGCAGTGTTGTTTTTTTTCCATCATGTCACACACACAAAATAGGAAACCAGCAGTTGTGATTTTCTTCAGCAATTCTTAATGTAAGTTTTTAATAGTTTAGTACTTTTCTTTCATGAATATTAGACCAAGCTGTAATGGAATTATACGACTCATGCTTTTAGAACAGAGCCTTCTGTTACTCGTGTGTTTATCCTGATGGCCATATGACCATGTGAAGTTCCGTCACGATTCTAAGGGATGTTACCTTTGTCTTATCCACTGAACTCAAGACAGGGTGTTGGAGAATTCAACAGCTGAGTCTGACGGTAAATTAAAATACCAGTCAAAATTAAAAGGACTGTGTGAAAGGGGAGTGAGCCTATAGGCTATTATGAGATTTGTCCTGCCCAGTTTAATACAACGCCTTCTCTGCTGAAGGGTAAGCAGGATGACTTTTCATGCAAATAGAAGACCAGGTCAGAAAAAAGATCCACTCGCTTTCCTTCTGCTTGGCTTACTGGACTTGTAGGCAGACCTAGGTTTTCCTATTTTATTAATGGTTATGGAGCTGAATTTCTTTCCAACAGAAGTTGTTATTTGAGTTTAGCAACATTGATAAAATTGGCACATCAAACCACTTTATACTGAAAAAGGCTTCATGGACAGTGACCTGCTGTGAGTTGGCTGACAGTTGAAATGATGAACAATGCTGTTTAGTTCTGCGCTTTATGCCTGCCAGAGACTAAGAATAACTTGACCAATAAGGAGGGCGGATCTTTGTTAGCCTTTCTGCATTATTTCTTCCAATTTAGTATTTAACCTCAGGAAAGAATCAATCACATGTGGGTGGCTATTCGTTGTAATATTTAAAGGAAAAGTAGCACAGTGGTCAAGGGTGAAGGCTAGGAGTCAAAGAGACTTGAATTCAAATTCCAGCTCCACCCTTTACCACACATGGGAACATGGGCAAGTTACTTCACTTCTTCAACCACTGGTTTCCTCATTTCTAAGATAAATCTTGTTGGAATGATTTTTTTCAAAATGAATTAAGTGTATAGTAGAGGGCCTACAGTTTTATATGGTTTATATAATTACTAAAATTTTTGTGTATGATTGTAATAACTACATACAAAATTTCATGGTAAATGCATAAAAACTGACTATTGACTATGCCATCCCCCACTCTACTCCCCACCATTCATTCCTAAGCCCACTCCAGGCAGGCAATCCGCCATTCCACTGATACTACACTTGACAAGGTCACCAATGACACTTACACTGTTAAATGCAGTGGCCAGTTCTCAGTCTTCATCAGAGTTCAGCATTCAGCAGCCTTTGGAAAAGTTAATCTTGCATTCCACTGCCTGCCTTGTTTTGTTTTCCTAATCTCTAAACATTGGAAGGCTCCAGTGCTCCATCCTCTGGCCTCTTCTCTACCCATAACCCCTCCCCTGGTGACCTCATCTAATCTTGAAGATTTGCTATCATGTAGATGCTACTGACTTCTCAAATATATATTTCCAGTTCACATCTCCCCCATGACTTCCAGGCTTCTTTATCCAACTGCCTGTTCAATTTCTACTTGAATGTCTTAGGTGGTTTCTCAAACTTTGCATGTGAAAAACTAAACACCTTGATCTTCCTAAAAATCTGTTTCTCTATCATTTAGTTGCTCAGCTAAAAACTTTGGAGTTAGACATATGGACAGCCCACCCCAAGGAAAGAATCAGAGGAGAAGGGACACAAGACCCCAGAAACACACGAGGCACCTTAATATGCATGCTGCATCTCTCTAAAATGGTGGAACCTGTTCATCTGCTCTGGAGGGTGGCTGCCTGGGGCAGACATACGAGTTGTTCTTACGCTGTGCTTCCTGTGTTCCACAGTAATTGAATTGTAGCTGCAATGCAGTTACCAACCAGGAATACAATTTCTCAGCCCCACATCTTGCACCTACAGCTAAGTGTGGCCATAGGACCAGTTTTCATCAATTAAGTGTGAATAGAGACAAAGTGTACCACCTTCAATTGGAGACTTTGAAGAAGCAGGGCAGCCATCCCTTGTTCTCTTTCCCCTTCCGCTGGTGGGATACAGATGACAATAAGGCCTTGGGTTTTGAGGTAGCCACAAGATGCAAAATGCCTCAGACCTGAGTCACAACGTGGAAGAGAGAAGCCTACTTACCTGGAACACCCAGCCTGGTCTATAGATGACCAAGAAATAAACTTCTATTATGTTTGAACATTACAGAGTTTGTTCTGTGATAGTAGTTTATCTCATCCTGACTAAACTGTTGCATATCTTTCAAGATAGGCCCTCCTTCCCTGAAAGTGACTTCTTCATACATGTAATCTATATTTCAATTCATATTCTCCAAAGCATATCTATATCTATTCAACTATTTTCATGTGTTCCATCAACAGAAACTTCATATAAATAAATATATATGAAGATTTTTTTTTTTTAAAGACACTTTGGAGTTATCCTTGACTCTGTCCTCTTTTCTCACACTCATATCCAAACTATCAAGAAATCTTGTTGACTCAACCTTCAAAATCTATCCAGGATTTAACCACTAATCAACCCCTTCTCCTCTGTCAGTCTGTCCCCCTACATTTCATCTTGATCATCCTTAGAAACTCCTAACCAGTCTTATTGCTTTCACCATTGTACTTCCAGACTATTCTCAAATGGCAGCCAGTCAATGAGATCCTGCTGCACTTCTGCTCAAAACCTGCAAATGACTTCCTACCTCACTTAGGGTAAAACCAAATGGGACCTGCACAATCTGGCCTCACCTCCTAGTGTTTTCCTCCTTGCTCATTCTGCCCAGTCACACTGCTCTTCTTGCTTTCCCATGAACGTGCTAGACACACTCTCATGTTTGGGCTTTTGCTCTTGTTTGCCTTCCCAGAATACTCTCCTCAAGGATACGCATATATCCAGCCCCTCATCTCCTTCAAATTTTAGTTCAGATACCACTTTCTCAATGAGGGTTTTCTGACCAGCCTATTTAAACTTAGAGTCTCCCCTTATCTAAAGCCTTGTCTTCCTTCCTGCTTCACTTTTCTTCATAGTAATTACCACCATCTGACTTATATTTGCTTGCCTTTCTTGTTGATCTTCTGTTTTCCCCACTCAAATGTAATCCATAAGGGAAGGGATTGTTGTTTCATTTGTTCACTTCTCTATCCCCTGGGCCTGAGCCTGGCTTTGGGTAGACACCCAGTAAATGTTTGTTCAAATGAATAAATGAATGAGTGGCATTTACTACCTTATATGGTATTATAATATAAAAGCATATGATGCAGAGAATTAGGAATCTAGAAACTAGTTTTGACTGAGCCTGCTATGAATAAGGTTATGTAGAAAAGTCATTTCACCTCTCTGAGCCTCATTTTTCTAATATTTAAAATCTACCCTCCAGAGCTGTAAAATGTTCAAATATAGATTATCTTAGGGAGTGCAGTCTCATGCTTGCACAATGAAAGAAGTTAATTTCTACATACTTTCCATGTACCCACAATCAATGTTTTATGTAAACCTTGCCTCAGGAAAATTAAGTTCTGTATGAGCAGATTTTTAAAAAATTGTCACCGAAATAAATACCCAATTAAGCCAAAATCTTCTCCAGAGACAGGATGCAATGGAGAAGCTCTAGCAGAATTAGGTTCCGTCATCTTTTAGGGTGCATGAGAAGGAAATGAGAAACGCACATTTGATGCCTTCTTTATATCCTTGCACTCATAGAGTTTGAATTAAAGAACAAGAAACAAAACAGACTTTGCATTTTTCATCTTTAGCCAAGCTCCCCTGGTTTACATAGTCATAATATAATTCAAATGATCATTTTTGGAGTTTTGATTTTTAGTGCTCTTTTTCTCAGCTAGGAGAAATGAATATCTGATGCTTTGTTTTACCAAATTGTAGTATGAAAACTGAGTAATGCTATAAAGCTTTTTAAATATTTTAGAGGTATAGCAAGTGAACTATTTTATAAGTTTCTGGGATTTGGGGAAATTTATTTTTATTTTTATTTTTTATTGAGACAGGGTCTTGCTGTGTTGCCCAGGCTGGAGTGCAGTGGTGTGATCTCGGCTCACTGCAACCTCTGCTGCCCAGGTTCAAGCGATTCTCATGCCTCAGCCTCCCAAGTAGCTGGGACTACAGTCCTGCGCCACCTCACCTGGATAATTTTTTTTTTTTTTTGTATTTTTAGTAGAGATGGGGTTTCGCCATGCTGGCCAGTCTGGTCTCAAACTCCTGACCTCAAGTGACCCACCCACCTCAGTCTCCCAAAGGGCTGGGATTACAGGTGTGAGCCACTGCGCCCAGCCTGAACATATTTTTCATGTTCAATATAATGATAACTACCTAGTAAAATCTTACTTGTTCAAATTCCCTTGATTTATTTTCTAACAAATACCTCAATATTTCTCTTATATGCTGGTCACTTATCAAATAGATTCCCAGTGAACCTTTTGATTGATTAATGTATAACTTGATCAGGTACTGAATTTACATTTGCTTAGTGAGGCCCACCTTGAAAAATAGTGCAAATGATTTTTTCAGATTAGATAGGGAGAAAGAAATCATACAAATACTAAAAACAAACTTTAGAAGTGGCTGTTAATATGTAAGATTTTCGAGGCCCATGATAAAGGGATTCTAGTTCTAGATCTGCTTTCCACATTCTTCAATTCCAAGGGACATCTTCAGCATAAGCTACTGACTGACCTGACTAATGCTTCATGCAACCCTTCTTGAGCTTTGGCGTTTGTCCTGTTTGCCCCTCAATCCTCATAAGGTCTCCTTGTGCATGTGCCCCTCCTTGAATTTGTGTGTGAGTTGCTGTCTCATTCCTGGTATATGTTCCTTATGTTTTTATTTCCTATCTTTTAGTACATAAGTAGGTAGATAGATAGATTGATTGATGACTGATTGATAGAAATAGATATATAATTTATTTTCCAGTGGGTAGATCTTTAGGTTTTCAGGCATGGGAGTAATATAACCACCCTATCCCTCTGTGTGGTGGGATAGGGTAGAGTATGGCTGTGGCCAGAGAGACCAACAGAACAGTGTAGGAAAGTATAAAAGTCTTGACCTATAGCATAGATATGCAAGAAATAAATGAAGACACTGCAGTTTAATGTGCTATTTGCAAGTTTTAAAAGTCTGTCAGTGGGAGAATTGAATAGCAAATAAAGTTTTCATTGTTAACTTTGTAACGATAAGTTTCTGATCATCTGTAACACAACAATAAAGTAAGAAAGCTCAAAAGTATTCTCAAATTTCTCCATCAGGGAATAATTTCTTCCTGAATATCACTCACAGCTTCCTGGAATAATAATGCAGTATAACTTTTTTATTTAATTGACACATACGAGCCAATTTCTATTGTCTCTCTGCCAACCCTCCTACTCTTCACCAGTCTGGGTTGTCACTGTATCTATGTATTCACATACATAGTATTCTTTTCTTATATCTATCCTAGAATATGTATGTATAACACCATAATACAAGTCTACTGTCTCTTATCTGCAATCACAAATCCATATAGCTCTGAAAACCAGAAGTTTGTTTTATGATTGGTGCCAAAATTTATTTTGCAGCAAAACCTGGCTTGAACAGACATGAGGCTTGCTAGCTGATACGCCCCACTAGATGGGGAGCTTTATGGAGGCAGTCTTGATTCCTCCTGTCTGCCTGGGATCTAGTATATCTCAACAAATATCAAATATTTGGAATAAGCAAATGAGTATTTTCTATCAATTTAATATATTTGAATTTATTAGTCTTCCTCTGTTGTTCTTATTTATTTATTTGTTTTTTGAGACAGAGTCTCACTCTGTTACCCAGGCTGGAGAGCAGTGGCATGATCACAGCTCACCACAGCCTCAAACTCTCAGGCTCCAACAATCGCCCTGCCTCAGCCTCCTGAGTAGCTGGGACTACAGGCACGCACCATCACACTCGGCTAATTTTTGTAGAGATGGGGTTTTGCCATGTTGGCCAGGCTGGTCTTGAACTAGGCTCAAGGGAACCACCCACCTCAGCCTCTCTAAGTGTTGGGATTACAGATATGAGCCACTGCGCCTGGCCTCTGTTCTTATTTTTTAAATGTTAAAACTTTGAGAAAACAAGAGTTAGGGCTAATAAGTGCTTTTCCAAAATTTATTTTTAAACTGAAAATAAAAACATCTGGTTAGACTGAAAAATCAATGACAGAACCAAGAATAATATCATGTTTCCTGGGTTTTAGATTAGTATTTTCTTACCTAGATAAGACTAGTATTATGAATGCCAGATAACTCCAAGGTCAAGAAAAACAGCTTTCTTTAAAATCTATTAAAATCTTATGAGTGAAAATGATGAAAATAATGTTATTTTACTCCCGTGCCTGAAAACACTTAAGGGCTCCCCATTGGGGAAAAAAATATGAATCAACATCTATGTATGTATATATTTACTTATATACATATTATACCACTAAAAAATCAGAAATAAGAATGTAGGGCAGATAGATCAAGAATGAGATAGCAACTTATATACGAACTTAGGTAGGAGAACTTGTAAATGTATTTTGAATATTTGATGCTTCTCCAAATTATTTCACCTTTTCTTTATACATGCTTTTATGTGGGTTCACACATATAAAAATTATGTATATTGTACACAAGTTCTTATTTTTTTCTACATTTTGAGGAAATTTTGAGGAAGTAAACTTCTGCTTTATGAAACATCCACTCATGATATCAATAATTGCCAAATAGAATCTTTTTCATAAAACACTCATGACCTAAATTGAAAAACATAAAAATTTTATTGAAGTTATAAATGTCAGTACACAAGTACTGTTATCAAGTATTAGAATTATGATATACCCTAACATCTATTATTCTGCCTTGCATTATCATTCTAAATTTTGTAAATATTTCTTGGGTCATAAAGAAAGAAATTTCTCTTTGAGCCATCTAACTTTCTTCCTTCTAATATTCAATTTATTGAATAGGATGCCATTCTATTTCATTTGATGAATTCTCATCTGATGTCCGTTTACAGTTCGCCCTTAAACAACATGGATTTGAACTGCATGGGTCCATTTATACGTGAATTTTTTTTTAGTAAATATATTGAAAAATGTTTTGGAGATTTGCGACAATTTGAAAAAACTTGCAGACAAACTGCATAGCGTAGAAATACTTTTTAAAAAATTTTTTGGCCGAGTGCGGTGGCTCAGGCCTATAATCCCAGCACTTTGGGAGTTTGAGGTGGGCAGATCACCTGAGCTTGGGAATTCGAGACCAGCCTGGACAACTGGTGAAACCTCCTCTCTACTAAAAATACAAAACTTAGCAAGGCGTGGTGGCGGAAGCCTGTAGTCCCAGCTACTTGGAAGGCTGAG